GTATTGAGCCACTGATGGAACTGGTTTAAGCATATATTCCCCTGCACTAGCAAAAAGATGTCGTCAATGAACCTAAAAAACTTTTTGATGTTAGAAAAGAAAGGGTTTGTAGATGTTAGAATATAAGTTTCCTCAAAATATTGCATAAAAAGATTAGCAAGTGATGGTGCAGCAGGATTACCCATTGCTATGCCGCATTTTTGCAAGTAGAAATCTTTTTCAAATCGAAAATAATTATTTTCCAATATCAAATCCAAAATTTCAAGCAAAAAATAAGTTGGAACAGGGATGTTTTGTTGTTGCTCTAGTAGCTCTGCAATGACTGATCTTATTTCATCATCACGTTCCTGCCTACTGTAGGGAGCCATGGAAGGAGAAAGAGCAGAAGCTGAAGAAGAAGCTGAAGAAGACCCTTCCCATCGACGTCCACCAGCCCCACCCGCTGGGTTCTTTGCTCGGCCAACGGGCCGACGCCTTGGTCTCCTCTTTCTGCCTGGAGGCCGTGAGCCTGGACCGGCAGAGCTTCGACCGAGCCCTGCGGAACGTCACCACCCTCCTCAAACCCGGTGGCCACTTCCTCATGATCGGGGCTCTGGAAGAGTCCTTCTACCTGGCCGGAGAGGCCAAGCTGCAGGTGGTGCCTCTGAGGGAGGCGGATGTCCAGGAGGCCTTCGCCAAGAGCGGCTACCGCACCCGCAGCTTCCGCTCCTACGTCATGCCGCCGAGCCTGAAGATCGGTGTGGATGACGTGCAGGGCATCTTCTTCATCCACGCGCAGAAATCCACCTGATCCCAGGCGGTCTGGCCTCTCGCTTCCCTTGCCACACACACACAAAAAAATCAATAAATCACATTGCATTATATATCGGCAGAAGTCAGCTTGCGTGGCGTTCTTTTTCCCTTTTTCCCTTCCGGTACTAGTGCTCTGGCGACCAGTGCAAAACAGCCCGGGCAATTCTCTCTTCTCACTGCAAGCCCCCCATGGAAGCCAGTTTGGTGTGGTGGTTAAGTGTGCGGACTCTAATCTGGGAGAACCGGGTTTGATTCCCCACTCCTCCACTTGCACCTGCTGATGTGACCTTGGGTCAGTCACAAGCTCTGGCACAGCTGTCCTTGAAAAAGAGCAGTTTGTGTCAGAGTTCTCTCAGCCCCACCCACCTCACAGGGTGTCTGTTGTGGGGAGGGGAAGGGAAAGGAGTTTGCAAGCCGCTCTGGGACTCCAAGTGAAGGGCGGGGTATAAATCCAATCTCTTCTTCTTCTTCTTCTTCTTCTTCTTCTTCATCAGGAGTAGATGTGATATCAATAGAGCTATTTCAAACCACAGAAAATGGCTGGAGGTTTTTTAAAAGGAAAGCTGTGAATTTGGAGGAACTAATAGATAGCTCATTATAACAATTATGCTTATTTTTTAAAAGTCCTCTGCTGGCGAGAGGGGAATTGTGCTGGGCAGCTCTGGCACAGCTGTCCTTGAAAAAGAGCAGTTTGTGTCAGAGTTCTCTCAGCCCCACCCACCTCACAGGGTGTCTGTTGTGGGGAGGGGAAGGGAAAGGGGTTTGTGAGCCGCTCTGAGACTCCAAGTGAAGGGCGGGGCATAAATCCAATCTCTTCTTCTCTCTTCTTCTTCCGCTGGGTGCCCTCTCCCCCAGGAGCAGCATTTCGTGGAGATCAGTGGTGGGGAGGGGGGAGGCAGGGAAGTTCCATTCCACCACCAGAAATTTTCGAAGAGAAGAGGAGATTGGATTTATATCCCGCCCTTCACTACCCAACAGACACCCTGTGAGGTAGGTGGGGCTGAAAGAGCTCTAACAGAAACTGCTCTTTTTCAAGAACAGCTCTTATCAGAACTACGGCTTGCCCAAGGTCATCCAGCCAGGTGCAAGTGGAGGAGTGGGGAATCAAACCCGGTTCTCCCAGATTAGAGTCCACGCACTTAACCACTACACCAAGGACTAGAAACCTTTGTTTTAAGACGTGTGTTGCTTATGCGATGTGGGAAACCTTAGGCCACCTCTGTGTAAAAACAATCACACCCAACAAGTCTGTGAAACAGATAAAGCGGCACATACATTAGTAAAAGACACTCCACCAGACTGGCTCTCTGGAGCATGATAGTTCCGTATGATTTTGCATCTTCTGTCTTCATCCCCTGCCTTACATGTACCTGCCTAATTGCAAAGGGATATTCTGGGCGCTTTTTCTCTTTTTATCAAACTGTGTACCAGGAGCAGGCCGGCCCCTTTGGCAGAAAGGCAAACCCTACTGAGAATGCAACAGCCCTGATCTGGACAGCTCCGGCTAGCCAGATCTCAGGAGCGAAGCCCTGGTGAGTAGTTGGACAAGAGACCAGTGAGGAGGTCGACGAAGAGGCAGGCGAACCACCCCTGTTAGTCTCTTGCCTTGAAAACCCCTCAAGGGGTCGTCATAAGTCAGCTGCCACTAGAAGGCCAAAAGGGGGGGGGACTCCAAACAAACAAAAAACCCCATGCCAGTTCTGCTAGCTTAAACAAATTTTGCTTCAGCCAGTCACGGGGAGGGAGAGGGGGACACTCTAGCATTTGGCCAAATACTCTATGGTCACCATGGAGTTTTTAGCCAAATGCTAGAGCGTCCTCCACACAACATGCCAGAGGCTAAAAAACTGTGAGCTGGCTCAGACTAACTCAGCTTAGAGGGAACACTGGTTACAGCGACTGCTAAAGAAGGTTTTTGAGGCGGCAGTCAACTAGGTGGGATCTGGACAAGGTTTTGGGAGATGTTGGTGGACAGGCTGGGAGATGCTTGCAGAGAGCTGATCTATTTATTACCTGTGTTTGACAGGATTGCTATTAGCCCTTTGGAACAGGTTCAGAGACAGAGGTACACGTCTGGATCCAATAACGTGTCCAGAGGCCAGGCCTGTAAACAGGATTCTGTGGCTTGTGGGGCAAATTTTCTTCTGGTGGGGCTGCCATTAATTGCCATAATAAAGGGGGGGTGCGCCCCCTCTCCCTCCCTTCCCACAAGGTTTAAAGGACACTCTAGCCCCACCAATCAGCTGAAGGGTCTTTTAAATCTTGCAGGAGGGGAAAGAAAGGGGTGTGCGCCACCCCCCTGCTTCTTCTCGAAAGCATTTAAAGGATCCCTTTAAATGCTTTTGGGAAGAAGGGGGGCATTTAAGAAGTGTGGGTCCTTTTAGGAAGGGGGCAGAGCCCCCCAATAGCCCCACGGTAGCTATGGGCCAGCCAAAGAGCCAAGTGGCAGTAGTGGTCAGGCCTCCCCTTGGCAGAGAAAGGTCCTGCCACCCTCATCCACACAGTCGTTCAGATTACTTCTCTGGTGAAGACTGTCCTTGAAGGCCTCAGGTGCCTCAGCTGGTTTTAAAATGCCGCTGGCCGTTCCCTAGGACCAGAAGGGAAGCAGAATTTAGAGTCAGTGCAGTGCAGGCGACCCATTAGCTTTCCGGCTCAATTTAAAGTGTTACTCTAAAGAAGAAGAAGAAGAGATTGGATTTACACCCCGCCCTTCACTACCCAAAGGAGCCTCAGAGCGGCTTACAAACTCTTTTCCCTTCCCCTCCCCACAACAGACACCCTGTGAGGTAGGCAGGGCTGAGAGAGCTCTGGCAGAAACGGCTCTTTTTCAAGAAGAAGAAGAAGAGATTGGATTTATACCCCGTGCTTCACTACCCAAAGGTGTCTCAGAGCGGCTTACAAACTCCTTTCCCTTCCCCTCCCCACAATAGACACCCCGTGAGGTAGGTGGGGCTGAGAGAGCTCTGACAGAAATTGCTCTTTTTCAAGGACAGCTGTGACAGACCTACGGCTTGCCCAAGGTCATCCAGCCAGGTGCAAGTGGAGGAGTGGGGAATCAAACCCGGTTCTCCCAGATTAGAATCCGCGCACTTAACCACTACACCAAACCCTGCATGCCTTCAGGACTGCCTCTGGCCACAACTTCCCACCCCTCCGCCAGTTGAAAATCTGCCTTCTGGTGTGTTCTTTGACCACAGGCGGAGGAGGTGCATTGCTACATCCTGCAGTCCTGGGAAACAGGGTCCTTGTAATGTATTCAGAAGCTGCCCTGAATGCATTAAGATGAAGTGAAATCATCTCATAGGGAAGCTATGCTAAGCTTTGTCTTGGCCAGGGATTCGCGCCAAGACTCATGTGACCAATCACATTCAAACAGACGGGAAGCGGGAACGATTGTGATTGGACTTTATGCACTCAACCTGATAGGTTGATATCTGTATAGGAGGTGTGGCTACATTAGCCCGGAATGTTTAAATACCGAGCAGCTGCAATGGAGAAGCTGTTCGGGCTATCGAATGTTGTACTGTGTTGGAGAAGTGATCATCGAGCTGAATAAACCTGAGTTTTGCTGAAATCACTCTCTGACTATTTGTTAAGCACCAGACTTAACAGTCCTGTTGTCCAAAGAAACCAGCAGCGCAGAAGCAGCGAGACCCAAATCGGCGGAGGGAGATCATGCGCAGGAGCATTGGCCCACAGACGACATTCCATTGAGACTCCCCACTGGGCGAGGGGCCCTCCAGCCCACTCATAACCAACTTCTGTGCCCCTGTCAGGCTGCATCAGCTTCCTGCACAGAGCCTGCTCTGGGGAGAGGCAGGAGGGTCTCATTCCAGGAGAGGGCCCCCCATCCACTGTTTGTCCTCAGGGCCTGTATTCTCCCCTCCTATCAAGGGATTTTGCCGCTTCAGCTCCCGCCCTTGAATCAATCCAGGTTTCAAAGGCAAGCAGAGATTAAGGGTATTGCGGTAACAGTGGCAGGGATTCTCTGGACAGTTGCAAGCCGCTAAACCAGGCAGCCAAGAGTTGCGAGCTTCAGCTTAATCCTACTTTTATTGGAACTGCACACGAGGAAGGTGAACCATCGGTCAGCTGCCGCAGCCAAGGCTTAGAGGGCCTCAAAAAGCTCTTTTTGAAACTGACCTCCCCGTATGTTTATGTTCCCCGCTGAACAGACCTGGCCTGAACAGAGGATTGAATCCAGGGAGCAGCTTTCTTACCCAATCTAGCCCAGATCTCCTCTCCATTACAGCCCCCATCCCTGATAGCCAGGGGTCATTTCCTAGAAAAAGAGGTGCAGAAGCTCATTTGCATAAGCCACACCCCCTGACAAAGGGTAGGCATGTTTAAAATGAGTCAAGGCGTATGCAAATGAGTTTAAATCCCCCCCTTCCCTAAGTATCTCCGCAAAAATGGAGAGGCTCAGGGGGAGAGGCAGGCATGTCTGTCTCCCTGACCTTCCCGTCTCCAGCCAGCTCACTGCGGGACACCTGGAGAAGATCGGGCAGGGAACCCAGGCATTTAAATCCCTCCCCTCCCTGAGTCTCTCCACAAGTGGGGGCGGGGCCTGGGCTCCTTACTGCCGGAGCACCGCTCCAGGGCGCTCCGGCAGGAAATGACTCCTGCTCATAGCCTTTGTACATGGAGGGGCAACAATCCCGAGCAAGTTGAGCAGGCCAGAGGGAGGCAAGCACTGTCTTCACAGTCTATACGTAACTCAGGCCACCGCTGTGCTTCTCTAACCAAAGGCCGAATGAGGTGGTTTTATTCGTGGTGTGGTGCACAGAATGGTCCAAGGAGGGCGAGTGCTGCGGCCGTTCTGTTCAAGCGAAGGAGCTCGGCAGGCAGGAAGAAGAAGAAGGATCGGATTTCTACCCCGCCCTTCACTTGGAGTCTCAGAGCGGCTTACAAACTCCTTTCCCTTCCCCTCCCCACAACAGACACCCTGGGAGGTGGGTGGGGCTGAGAGAGCTCTGACACAAACGGCTCTTTTTCAAG